GGAAGCAACAACACTTTCAAGTACCTTGGAAAGAAAAGGAAGGTTGTAGATGGGCCGGTAGTTAGAAAGCAGGGATGGGTCCAGGGAAGGTTTGTTCAGGATGGCGGTGATTGTAGCTGTTTTTTGGAGGATGGGATCAGTGCCAGATGATAGGGAGCAATTGATGGTGTTGGAGTGTCGAGGAGCGAGGAAGTGGAACTGGAAGATAAAGAGAAGTATGCGGATGGGGGGTCAAGTTAATGTGTTTCAAGCTGGATATGTTGGTGATGAGAGAGGCGGGGGAGACAGGTTCACAAAATGTGGAAGGAGCTTTTAGGTAGGGGTCAGAGTGTGTGGGCGCGTGGGGGAGAAGGGGAGGGAGGGCAGTTGGGAAGGTGGAGGCAGCTGAATGGATCCCTGGATTTTTGATTTGAGGAAATCCAGCATCGCTTCTCAGTCAGAGCTTGAGGAGAGAATGGGCGAGGTGTGGGAGGGCAGGTGGAGGAGCCAGTTGGTGTTGATGAACAGGAGCCTGGGGTTTTCATTCTCTTCCAAGATTATCTTGGAGTAGAAGAACGATTTGGCGGAGGTGAGGGCGGAGTGGTATGTTTGTGAGAGATTAGAGGGATGGAGGGCGGTTTTTGAGGGGGGGTGTAATGACAGCGGGTTACACGGATTGATTTGAAAATGGCACCTGGATGTGATGTCTGTCAGCGAGTTCGGCCGCGTTTCAGTGGGGAATTTGAAATGGCGCCTCCGCGCCTGAATCTGCTGAACGTTCGCCTCACCGGTCACTCACCGCCACTTATTCATCCGCCCATGGCCTCTCTCGCACCTGATGTACTGGCGGGAGGTTTGAAATTTCTTGCCCTGCCAGTGCCCGTCTGTAACCAACCTCGCCCAACTTTCATCGACCGAACCTTCGGGCATCCCCGCTTACATCTTCCACTGTTTCCTGAGGCCCGGCTCTCACTGACTCATGAGCAAGAGGGGCCTGTCTGTTGGGGCGTTTGGGAGGACTGTCTGTGGTCCTCCTAAGGGATCAGGGCTTGCACTTTCCAGCTCCTCTTAAACAGGTGATGGTAATAGATTGGAGGGGGGCGTGAGATCCTCTAGGCCTCACCACCTGCCGTCTCAGCACAACACAGAATATATTGTAAAGTTGTTTGCATATATATTTTGCGTGGAGGGCTTTGAAAGTAAGGATAAGGATTTTGAATTTTATCCTCAAAGCGCTTCACAGAATATTATGTAAAGTGAATTGACTGAAAAATAAAACACTTTATTACAGACAGAAAAATAGATTTACCTTTCACTCATTTATCCTGATGGATGTTGTGGTGTAATTTGAGGAATAGAATCATTTGCTGAAAGTTACTGTAGATTACCATGACAGTGGGGCCACAGATAGCGTTAAATGTATAAACCTGCAGTACCGCGTTACTGCCGGCAGATAGTGTTTTTAACTGGGAAACTTCACCCCAATGTTCACAGTAAACCGACAATAATAATCTTGACAAAGACAAATTGTCTCAGGCAGGAACAGCCTCCAAACATATGGAGAAGGTTCCAGTGTAGTTCAGATATATTTATTTAAGGATGTCAAGTCCTCGCAGGTCTCCCCATCTCCCCCATACAGAAATAAAATTAATTAAAATTTCTGCCATCCGGATACTCACCCATAGGAAACTCAGTCCCCCATCGCACCAGTTCTTGCCAGGCTCCACTTGCTCCCATGATTATACAATTATATTATTCAAAAAATAAATAAATAAAAGAATAATTTGATTGCTCAGTCCACAACTGTTTGTGGGACGATGCTGTATACAGTTGGCTGCTGTGTTTCACCCTCAAAGTATACAGTCAATTCACTTTGCAATATATTCTGTGAGGCGCTTTGAGACATCTTGACAACATGATAAGGCAATAAGAGTTTTTTNGGTGTCCTGCAGTTCAGTGGTTAGAGCACTCGCCTTGCAAGGGAGAGGACCTTGGATCGATTATTGGGCAGGGCAAAAGGCGGGCAGATTTCCTTTCTCCAAGTGATTGCTAACCAAGCATTAAGTAGTCGATTGGCAGACCACTTTCTGGTGGTAATAAAATGATAGTAATTTGGTCACTGAATCCATGACTGTTTGTGGACACTGCTGTGCACAATTGGCTGCTGCATTTCTCTCACGAAACACAAAGTCAATTCACTTTACAGTATATCCTGTCAAGTGCTTTCAGATGACTCGAAGACATAAGGCAATATATCAAATGCCAGGCATGATGACTACCCTCATGAAGAGGAACTCCACCGTCCTCACCAAACAGACCCAGGTCTTCATCACCTACTCTGACAACCAGCCCGGCATATTGGTGGAAGTGCACGAGGGCGAGAGAGCCGTGACCAAGGACCAAAACCTCCTGGACAAGTTCAAGCTGAGCAGAACCCCCCCCCCAGTCCTCCCTAATACACACAACCCTAACCCTCACCCCCTGACACACACACACCCCTAACCCTCACACCCTGACACACACCCCTGACCCTCACCCCTGAAACACACCCCCCTGACCCTCACCCCCCGACACACACACCCCTAACCCTCACCCCCCGACCCACACACCCCTGACCCTCACCCCGACACACACCGCTAACCCTCACCCCGACCCTCACCCCCTGACACACTCACCCCTGACCCTCACCCCCACACACACACCCCTGACCCTCACCCCCTGACCCTCACCCCCTGACCCCCCCCCCCCCCCGGGGCTCATGGCCACACGGCCGCCGAGTTGGGAATCTCGGTGTTGGTGTAGAAAACCCCTTTGATGTGAAGCTGTTGATAGTCACAGATAATAATAATGTATTTAATGTCATTAAATACAATAAGTGATTTGATCTTCTATGAAAGGATTTCCCACTGAATATGTAATATATATAACAGTATATGTGCCATTGCTGTTGACTATAGTGACTTTATACCATATTCTCACCAGTTGGGGCGGAGGTGTCAGAGGGACCGTCGCTCGAGCACTTTTCTGCCCTTCGGCGCTTCTGGAATGTTCCCGCCCTCCCCCCGCGCATGCGCACCTTCCCGAGTCTGGTCCCGGGCGGGAAAGCGCGGGAGCGCGGGAACGAGTGACGGTTGGAGACGGGACACAGCGCGCACGCGCGGGAAGGCGGGGCCGCGAGAGACGGAGAGCGGCGGGAACAGTGCGCATGTGCCGACACCGCGTGACAGCGCTTTGGGGGTCAGGACCCGAGAAGAGCGCGAGAGTCGGTAAGTGAGGAGCGGAGGACCGACCCCGCGCTCCCCCCCCGGACCCCAACACACACACACAGTGACCGCACACCGACACCACACACTCCACACACCGGTGGGAGCCGCTGAAGGCGGGAAACGGGGAAGAGAAGCCGCACAAAGGCTGTGACAGGACAGCGGAGCCGTCACCGCCCCTCACACAGACTGACACACACAGCGGGAACGGGAGGCAGTGGCTCCGGACACGGCTCTGGGCCTGAGAGCCGCGGTCTGACCACCTGCCACAGGCGGGAAGTGTGTGAAGGGACACAGTGGCCGCCACACACAGCGGGTCCTGGGGGTCACTGGTTTACCGCACACACCACACAAGTGCGGGAAGGGCGGACAGTGCTCGAGGAGCGAGTCCCGGCAGCTGCTGTCTTACCTCCCGCAGGAAGAGCTTCACACGAGGAGGAGGAGATGGCGTCGGTTATCTGTGGTGACGATTGGATGTCAATAGTGTCAATAGTATTTGAAGATTATTTGGGTTTGAGTAGTAAAAGGAAATGTTGTTGAACAGTCAATGGGTATAAATAGGTATCAACAGAATTGAATACAATTACAGTGGAAGCTGGTTATCAGATGGACCAGTTGGTGGGTGGGGAGGGTGGCTGCTGGTTGGACATTTTGTCCAATATAAGAGGTGTCCCAGGTTACCCGAACACCATTCCTGCCGAGCGGAGCAGCTCACCGACACCTTATAATAATACCTGATAATGCTGTTTCACTTGAAGCAATGTTCACTGACCGGTTAACATTAAAACACTCACAGAATTCAGTAAAGTATATTTACTTTGTTTGGCTGCCAGTTATACAGTGCAGTCAGTGCTTTCCTGCCCAGCAGGTTGAGCTGGGAGGGTTAGCTGGTGGCTTTTATATTATTAGTTGTGTAATTTATAACCAGGATACAGCTGTGCCTGCCTCAATCACCCAGTGTTTATACCTTTGGTCGCGTGCGCTGCCGCTCATGAAAAATGCGGGAATAATTCAGAGAGTGGAACGCCAGGCAAGACAAGATACCGACTGCCCAGAGTGAGCGCGCGCTACGTAAATGCAAGTCGCTGTTGTTGAACCGACCCATCCAGGCCCCACTAATACCATCACAAATGCACTGGAGCGCAATGAGTGTAAAGTCCCCAACATGTGGCTTGAACCTACAACCATCAGACTCAGAGGCCAGAGCACTACTGACTGAGCCAGGCTGAGACAGGTTTATCCTGAGACCGGCAGATTATCAGAGGCTCAGAATTTTTCCCTGAAATATAATACCCAGGATTGAGCAGAGGATAAAGTTTCTCAGTGAAAGTGTTAGTGAAAGTGTGGAGATGAGACATGTTGTCAGCGTTGTAAAACGACACCTGACCCCCCTCATAGTCCAGGTAAACTCCAATCTTCCCAGGTATCACTGTCAGAAGCAGGTGGGTGGGAGGTGAGGCCAAAGCCTCAAAACCCTTGCCCCCGAGCTCCACAGCCCAGACCCCACCCTCTGGTGACCATGTGGTTCGTTGTTTCCTGTTGATAGACTCTCTGGCCACTCCAACTGTCCACACATTCTTGTTGACCACCTGCACCTCCCAGTAATGTCTCCCTGATGTGAAGCCCTTAGATCCCAGGACAAAGAGATATTTACTAAACCTCTTCGAAGAGTCAGGGAGCTGCTGCGGTTTATCTCCGACTCTCACGCCGGTCAGGTCCTCAGACAGGACGAGGCAGGGATGAGCTGTGTCAGGATCCAGCGTCAGAGAGGCCGGAGCTGAGAGAGAGAAATAACACAGTGAGCGATTGTTGATTGTGGAGAGATTAATATAAACACTGAATAATTTTCCTTTTGCAAAAGTGGCTGCTGATGGCAGGCCAGCCACCCTGGCTCCTGGGCCGGGCCAATAGAAAGTCATTCACTGTGAAAAAGTGCGTCTCTCTCTGTCCCCGAGTGTGTGTCTCTCTCTCTTTGTCTGTGTGTTTGTGTCTCTGTCGGTGTGCGTGATTTTCTCTACCTGTGTGTGTGTGTCTTTCTGTGTCCCTATGTGTGTCTCACTGTATCCGTGTGTGTGTGTGTGTGTGTCTCTGTCCGTGTGTTTGACTCTCCCTGTCCCTGTGTCTCTCTCTGTCTGTGTATGAGCTCCTGGAGACCTGCAGTCAGGACACTGGTGAACATGGTGAGCAATGCTGAAGTTCAGCGGATCTCCAGACCTTCAAATCTAGTGTTGGGTGGAAATGGACCTTTCGGCCCTTTGCGCCTGCACTGCTGCTAAACATCAGCAGTTATCCCAACCAATACACCCTATCAGGGGTCCCCAAGCCTTGGCTCTTACAAGCCTCTGACTAATAGTTTCCATTCCAGATACAGGGAAACTTCCATGCAAAGGTGACATACGTTTGCGGAACTCAGTCTGGTTTGGAGACTCTGAAGCGCGGTGATGGGTTTAAACATGTGATAGACACACGACTGCTGATCAAATCAACTCTGCATCTGCCGCCCAGTGAGGGCTTTACGGTGCGGGATGATGTAGGATCTGCTTACCAAGGCTGGTCATGTTGATCATTTCTCTCCACACTGTGAGCTGCAAAAGCCCTTTGGGTATTGCCAAAGTCAGATCTCCTTGTACCACTGACGGCTCAATTCAGACTTCACTGATGCTGCAAAGATAACAGATTAACATGAATATCTCGTGGTTACTGCTTTGACATTAATGAGTGAAATATTAGGTCAGACCTGATCTTCCGAGAAGCTTCCTCCTGAAGTGAAACAAAATACAGAGAGGTCAGAGTTCACAGCCAGGTAACCCTCAGCGTGTGGAATAATCTCCACACGGTGGCTCGCTCGGGGAGCTTTACCCAAGATAAGAAGAAGGAGCTTTGCATTTGGTACAGAGCCTTTCACGTCAGGAGGACGTCTCAAAGCGCTTCATGGGATTTACCACAAAGTGTAGGGAATGTGTGTTTTGTAGGTGAATGTAAGGGCTGAGCTGAAATTCACTCTGTTACGTTGTTAGTTTTACAGAGTTGGGAGGTGCACAGCATTGTCAGATGTATTTTGGATGAGACATAAACCCGAGGTGCTGTCTGCACCTGTTCAGGTGGATGTTAAAGATCCTAGAAACGATTGGAAATGTGAAGGGATTTTCTCCCAAATATAGTTGGTCGTTCACTTCAAGGCTGTTTTGGGGACTGTTTTGCTGCGGAAATTGGCTGTTGCATTTGCCTACAAAGTCCAGTCACTACACTTTACAGTGGATTCTGTGAATCGCTTTGAGAACTTCTCCAGAGGTCAAAGGTGCCGTATAAAATGCAAGAATTATTATCATATTATAATCTCTTTTTCGTACCCTCAGAAAGGATCCCGAGTCATGTTCATCCATTCGGTTCTGTAACATTGCTAATTCTCGGTCAATAGATTTTAACTGCTCTTCAAACCCTGAGAAAGCTTCCTCCATTCGCTGTAAAATCTCCTCTTCTCGCTCTCTGAACTCTCGCATTACACGCTGCTCTGTGTCTTTGAGGCTCTGATGCATTTTAACAAACTCAGCCGTGACGTTGTTCTGCAGACTGCTCGCCTGTTTCTGTAAAATGAAGCGTCAGACATCACAACGGGCCACAGTAAAGAGAGAGACACGACTGAGAGCCCAGACATCACACAGTAAAGGCAGAGACAACTGAGAGCCCAGACATCACTCAGTAAAGACAGAAACACGACTGAGAGCCCAGACATCACACGGTAAAGAGAGAAACACGACTGAGAGCCCAGACATCACACGGTAAAGAGAGAAACACGACTGAGAGCCCGTAGTGGGGATAAATGCCACAACTTTCCAACTCAGAGGTGAGACTGCGGACGACTCCTATCACACAGCAACTTACTTTCACGGCAGAAATCCTCTCTTTTTGCTCAAATTCAGCTCGAAGAACAGCGTCTTTTCTCTTCAGAACCAAATTGAAAGATGATTTCAGTTTTTCCTGCAATCAAAATGGAAATCAACACATCTCTAACTGTATCAGTGTGAGCAGAGAGAACACGCAGGGGGCAGCCTGTCAGACAGCGCTCCCAATGACCAGTGACGCCGTTTACCTGGTTAAACTTAAGTAGCTATCTCGACATATACTCTGGGATACCAAAGCCTTAGCTCTTGCCAACTAATGCCTAATATTCTACAGAATTTGTAGCAGGGTGCATCGCTCTGGGGACACACGGCAATATTCAGGATTCTCTTAAGCTCAGCAATGGGCTTCAGTGTGTTTCAGACACTCGGCTGGTGAAAGAAAGAGAGAACAGCAGTCAAGTTATAGACTCTGTTCCTTGTTTACCTTGTAGATCTCAGCAGCTTTGTCTACCGACATGACGCTGTGCGATTTGTGATTCTGTCTCTCGGGAGAAAAGAAACACATCAAACAGATCAATTTCTTATCTGTTTCACCAAACAGCTTCAGCTCTTCCCGATGATCACCACAACAATGTTCCCTTTCTCCCCGTTTCGGATCCAGACAGATTTCTAGCTCTTTCGGACAGATTAGCCAGAGGTCGACTGGCTCTCAGCTCCCTTCCCGGACACGCCCGACGACACTCCGGGCAGAATGAGCCTCCTGCCTCTCCCAACAGCCTGCGATACACGAGCGGCAGAAATAGTGGCCGCAAACCAGAGAAACCGGATCGTTGAACAGGTCAAGGCAAACGGGGCAAGTGAGATCCTCTGCTAAGCTCTGGTCCTGCTCTCTGCCGGCCATGTCCCCCTCCACCGCTCACTCCCACAAACCGCTGTCACTCTCAGGCTTTGGGGCTGTGTCCAGACCCAGAATTCAGCAGAATGCTTGTTTGGGAGTTTTGTGGCTGTGATCTTCCCCCTGGGCCTGGATCAGAAGGTAATAATAATAATAGTCATGACATTTCCACAGAGGGAGGGTGTGAGACGGGGACAAGAGGAAGCGCCGCCTGTGCGGGGGTTTGTGTTGCTGACACTGACCGGAATGGACAGCAGCAATGGCGGTGCCCGGGAGCCACAATGCACTGCGCGGATGAAAGCGCTCTATCTCTGCATGGCTCCGCGCACGCGCACTGCCCGTTCCTTTGCCGAGCGCTGCAGAGCCGGAGCAGCGCATGCGTGGAGATGCCCAGCGCTTGAGATAGAGGGCTTTCTCTGGCGCGATGCATTGTGGCTCCCAGCCCCCGCCATTGTTACCCACCTGAGCCTCTGTCACTGGCTGCACTTTGTGTCTGGGACCTGGGCTGAGCTGCTCCAAGAGGTGGAGGTGCCTTTTGCAACGAAATGTGGGAATCGACTCCACCCTCTTCACAGCGATCCTTCCCTTTCCAGTCCTCTCTCCTCTCTCTCTATCAAACCTTCTCATAATTGTCTTTCCAACAATGAGCGCTGTTCCCAACGCCCCGGATCCGCTCCCTGACCTGAGCTGCCATCCCCAAAATGCCCCCATCCCTGTCGCACATCCTGCGTTACTCCCGCTCGCTTCTATTTTCCTATCGCCCACACGGCTTCCTCTCCATCCAGGCCCATCCCACAGCTTCCCTGTGCTCCAGGGAATTCTCCACCGGGCTCATTATGGTACAAGCCGTTGGCTGTCCAGCAGTCACCCTGACAGCCCCATCCCCCCACTTTCCCTACAAGGTCTGTGGGTCCCAGATCACGGATTTTAATCTCTCAATTCACATTCCCTCTCTTCCTGTTAATTCTCCTCCTTTCCCCCACCACGCAATCCTTCAAACTCCTCGGCAATCTGTCCCCTCCAAACACCCTACAAAATGTCCGATCCCTCTCCAGTAAAGCACTTAACATCCATGAACTAATTGTCGTCAAATACATTGACATCCTCTTCGTCACCAAAAATTGGATCACCGTCCCCCCTCTCCGAAGCCACAACACCCAGTTTCACTTTACATCATACCACATGTATGTGGATGACACCCAATTCTATCTCTCAGCCTCCACCCTCAATCCCAGGTCTATGATGTCCTGACAGACTGCCTGTCGGACACCAAGTCCTGGAAGAGCGCCAACTTTCTGCAGTTGATCGTCAGCACGAACAAGGCTCTACTGATTGGCTCACTCCAATGCCTCCACACCTCAGGCACTGACAGCAACATTATCCAAGCACACTCCACCTCACCAAGCCAGTCAGGAACTGAGGCACCTTCATCGACTCAACTGTCCTTTCTCCCCCACATCTGTGTCATGACCCGCTCTGACTTACCCCACCTCCGCAACTTTGCCCGAGTCTACCACTGCCTCACATCTCAGGCGGCCAAAACACTCATACACCTCTTCATTACAATCTGCTAACTCGGTCCTTCCTAAAACCACTCCCTCCCCACCTCCCTCTTCGGGCCCTCTCATTCCTCCCTCCACTTCCTCCCTCTTCTCTCTGCCCTCCATCACTCCTGATCCCAACACCCTCTTCAGGTCCAACTCCCTGACTGTCTTGCACCTTGGGACGTTCGCCCGACGTGAAGGATGCAACTGTGCAAATGTAATTTGTTGTTGCTGTTGTTGTCCTAGCTGAAAAAGCAGTGGGAAAGCTTGAAAAATTCTACTCATCTTCCCTCTAGTTCTTTTGTTAATTATTATTAATCTATGTTCTCTGGTTACCAAACCACCCACTAGAGGAAACAGTTTCTCCCTATTCTATCAGAACCCTTCATAATTTTCAACATCTCAATTAAATTTCCACTTCTCTGCTCTAAGGAGAAAAGTCCAGCCTCTATAGTCTCTCCACATAATTGAAGACCTTCCCGGTATAGTTGTATATATTCTGGTAAAAGTATGAAAAATCAAGTATTTTAAACTCCTGCGGTAACACTTTATTACAGACAGAGAAATAGATTAAACATTTCCTCGTCTTTCCTGATGGATGTTGTGGTGTAATTTGAGGAATAGAATCATTTGTTGAAAGTTACTGTGGATTAAAATGACAGTTACGCCACATATAGTGTTAAATATATAAACCTCCAGTACCGTGTTACTGCCGGCAGATAGTGGTGTTGTACATGGAAACTTCACTCCAATGTTCACAGTAAAACAACAATAATAACCTTACATTTGAGAAGTGCCTTTCATGTCAGGAGAACATCGCAAAGCACTTCACAGGATTCACAGTGAAGTGTGTTTTGTAAGTGAACACAGGAGCCAACGTGTGCACAGTGATGTTTGACAAACCACAATGGAGTGAATAACTCTGTCTGTGGGATTGTTGGCCAGAACACCAAGAGCAACTTCCTTGATTTTCGAACAGTGTTATAGGTTCTTTAACACCCATCTGAATAGGCACCGATGGGTCCTTGGTCAGGGGTGGACTGGGTACACGGGTACCAGGGATATATCCAGAGTGCCCTTGTGAATCCAATTAGCGCACAACAATTTCCCAACAACAGCTAAATTGTTGACCAGGAAATTGTCATGGTAAAACTGGGAGTGGTAAACTTAGAATGAAGGGCTAATAAACTGCTGTTTAACGCTGTGTTAGAAGTGGGGACATTTGGCCCAATTCCAACAATTTTCGTACCTTTGCGATGTCCTTCCAAATCACCAGACTGAGGATAGTAACTCAGCTCAGTCTCTGTGTGAGATTAGTAACTGAGCTCAGTGACTGTGTGAGGTTAGTGACTGAGCTCAGTCACTGTGTGAGGTTTCATAATTCTTCAGTTGAAACAAACTCTGGTTGTTACCTCCCACTGACAGTCACAACAGAGATGAGTCACAGCTCTGACCGCAGAAACGAGGGGACTTTAAACAAAATAAAAGTCACCCATTGGCTGTGGGCGGAATTAGGGGCAGAAACTGCTGATCCGTCATCGAGGCTCACATACGCAGTAAGTAAAATTGCAGCGTTTTTCGGTTTCAGATCATTTTTAAAAATATATATAATCTGTTTAGTTTGTTGTGTACAATGAGATCAGTTTGTTTATTACAGTGAGATGGCTTTATTTTTGAATAGATATATTTATTTGAAAGTATATGTTTGTACGACAGTCTAAAATTTACCACTGTGTGTGAGAGAGAAAGTAAAGTGTAACTGTGTGTGAAAGAGGAAGTAAAATGTTACTGTGTGAGAGAGAAAGTAAAATGTAACCCGCGCTCCTGCGGATGGATAGTTAGGATAAATCCATAGGTTGTGAGATGTGAAAGAGAACATTTATTGGATCAGGAAACCGTGAGAAAGCGACAGAAAAGCACATGTAAGAGCTCAGCCGCAGCCCCCACCTCTCTTACCCTCTTTCCGCGGTTCTTGCAGGAAATAAACCGAAAAATCTGCTGCTATAACTTTGCAGAAGGTCTCAGTGTGTCTTTAGACTCTACTGAACACCTCTCTGCCCCCGACTCCCCCCCCCCCCGTCCCTAACTCTCCCCCCGTCCCTAACTCTCCCCTCGTCCCTGACTCCTCCCCTCGTCCCTAACTCTCCCCTCGTCCCTGACTCCCCCACTGTCCCTAACTCTCCCCTCTCTGCCTGACTCTCCCCCGGGCCCTGCGCCCACTTGATCCACCAATAGACTCCAGGTAGGAAATACGCCAATGACTTGAATTCACTGTGACAATCACAACAACAAAATTACATTTGTAAAGCGCCTTTCACGTGGGGAGGACGTCCCAAGACGCTGGACAGACAGAGTTATGGACTCGAGCTGGGGATCCAGGGGGGCGGGGTGGAGAGTGGAGGGCAGGGGGCAAAGCAAGGAGATCAAAACCTACGTTGACGAAGAGGGTCTTGAGGTGAGTCTTGGAGGGGGTGAGGGAGGGGGTGAGAAGGAGGGACTGCGGGATGGAGTTCCAGAGGGTGGGGGCAGAGTGGTGAAAGGCCCCCCCCCCCGATAGTGGGGTGAGCGAGGCGGGGGACGTGAAGCAGGCCAGAGCCCACTGAGCAGGGGGAGCGAACAGGATGGGAGGGGGTTAGAAGGTCAGAGAGGTAGGGGGGGAGCAAGGCCATGGAGGGCTTTGAAGGTGAGGATCAGGATCTTGAGCTGTATCCTCTGTGTGATGGGAAGCCAATGGAGTCGGGCGAGGATGGGGTTGATAGCGTCACGGAGCCGAGTGCAGGAGAGGACACGGGCTGCAGAGGTCTGGATGATCTGTAGTCTATGGAGGGAGGAGTTGGGGAGACCAACAAGCAGAGAGTTTGGAAAATCGAGCCTCGATGTAATGAAGGAGTGTATGAGGGTTTCGGTGGCCTGTGGTGTGAGACAGTAAGTAAAATTGCAGGGTTTTTCTGTTTCAGATCGTTCTTAAAAAATATAATGAGTTTAGTTTGTTCTGTACAATGAGATCAGCTTGTTTGTTACAGTGAGATGGCTTTATTTATGTATGTATGTATGTATGTATGTTTGTACAACAGTCAACTCAATATAACACTGACTCCAAGATCTTCCTTTCCCTGTTTCCTGACACAAAACATTCCATTCTTTCTTGTCACATTTCTTTTTGTGGGAACACTCTTCTTTCTACATGTTTTATTTGGTCTGAATATATCAGGATTCTGTCTCTCTGTATTTGTGGGATCTGTCAGTGTCGGCATTGCCGGGGCTCTGCTCTGCCCCGTGTCTCGGTGCCTGTGTTGGGGGCAGTGACTGGTGGTCTCACTGTTAATGGTGAGATTTGTGCACATTTCCTCACTGGAGGAGGTGTGAGGATTAACGGCAGTTTCTGTTACTTGTTTTATACAATATTTGCTCTATTTGTCGGGACTGGTTCAGTGGCTGATGCTCAGTGTAAACACAGCCACAACGTGGCATCTGCACATTCTAGTATCAATACGGTACCCCCGCTAACAGCATCCGGGTTTCACAACCAGCCGGACTGAATCTGACACCAAAATAGATATTTTTTAAATTTTTGATGGTCTTCGCTGTGTAGCCTCACACAGGCTCAGCTCTCCTCTCACACTGAGCAGCCTCACCATCCCCACTGGCCTTCACAGGGGCCGGGGATACCCACTGTCACTGTTGTTTGAATCACTTATACACTATCTTCTGTTCCTGGGATTCAAACATTACAATTTATTGGCGTTTTACAATAAAGCAGTAAATGCCGGGACCGACATTGTAATGACACTCAGCTGGAAATTCCGGCTCTCCAGACGGGATCTCCCCCATTGGTCCGGCCTCGAGCCGGGGGTTCAGTGTAATGAGCCACTGTAGCCGCCAGACAGCACAATCAGCACCAGCACCGCAACAGCTCGTCTGGATTAACATCATTCAGAGCATCAGAGGAACCTGACACCCAATGTGTGGGAGCAAAACGTGAGCCATCTTTGTAAAGCTCATCGCCAGCTCGTCTCTGTGCTCGTGTTGAGCGAATCTGACTTGCCATCCAGTGTGTGAGCTCACACGCTCTGAGACAGGGATATATATCGCTGATCTCTTTCTCTCCAGCAATGCCCAGTCTCACAGTCGGGGCTGTGCTCAGAATCTCACTGAAATCTCCCAAATCACTTTTATATCTATAAACAAGGTGACATGTTGTTCTCCAGTGAACAGTCGCGTCTCACTGTGTATAAACAATGTATATTTTCAGTGTAATCTTTTATAATCTGTGTAACTCGGGGTCATGCATCCCGGAGCGCTTGACAGTGCTGGAGTCTGATCCCGAGCCAGAAGGGGAGAGGGGAGAGTTGACCGAAAGCACGATCGAAAGTAAAGATCTTTAGGTCTTCAAGCACACCTAACCATCTGGAGTTAATGTCTGCGTGCATGTGGTGTTGTGAGGAATACAGGTGTAGTGTAGAAATCAACTTTGATATTTATTGTTTGTTATTTATTGTTACAGATAATTACATGGAATTACATCGATCATACAGCACAGAAACAGGCCATTCGGCCCAACTAGTCTATGCAATGTTTATTGTCCACATGACCTGCCCTTCCTCAGGTAAGCCTATCAGCATAACCTTCTATTGCTCTCTCTCTCATGCACTTATTTAGATTCCCCTTAAATGCGTCTATGCTGTTCGCCTCAACTACTCCTTGTGGTAGCAAGTTCCACATTCCCACAGCTCTCTGGGTAAAGAGGTTTCTTCTGACTTCCCTATTTGATTTATCGGTGATTATTTTATATTGATGGCTCCCCAAAAAAAATATGCCCATGGCACTGCCAGAAGCAAGACCTTTCCAATGAGGTATAAATCATGTCTCTACGTTATTTGGTTATTGTGTGATTGTCGGATACACTGACAGACAGACACTTACATAGACATTTCGTAGTATCTTAGTATAGATTCTCTTATCAGTTAGGGGGGGTTATAGATGTCGCTGTGCCCCTCACTTGAGCGCTTTTCTGCTCTTCGGTGAAGCCAAACTCACACACACACACACAATCTGACTGGACAGCAACACCACACACTTCACATACTGTTCGGAGCAGCTGAAGGTGGGAAACTGGGCAGAGAAGAAGCACAAAGGCTGTGACAAACAGCACAACATCCACACACACACCTTCCCAGCTTTGGGCACTGGAGTTTATCAGTGCAGGAATCCTGGAAGATCTCTCACTAGGCTCAGGTTGGCAAGAACCAAGGCCGGGGGTCCCCAGATTGTGCATTGGGGTAACTGCTGGAGTCTAAGCAGATAAAACAGCACAGCTATAGAATCATAAATTATATAGCACAGAAGGAGGCTATTTGGCCCATTGTGTCTGTGTCGGCTCTTTGAAAAGAGCTTCCAAATCAATCCTATTCCCCGCTCTCTCCCCGTAGCCCTACAAATTCATTCTCCCCAAATAATTATCTACTTTTCTCTTAAACATTGTTATTGAATCAACTTAAACCATCCTTTCAGGCAAAGATTTCCCGAGCTTTCCCGCTGCTTGTTGCTTTATCAAATACAAAGGTTATTATTATATTACCACCTGCACCCAGTACAAAGGTGAGGTGGTGTCTGACCCCAGCCGGCATCGTATCTGTATTTCCTTGCTACCACACATCCATTCCCTAACCAGGACCCCTTTATTCCACCTCCGCCACATTGCCCATCACTGTCCGTACATCACTGACACAGCTGAAATCTTCATCGACACCTTCTTCACTTCCCAGCTGGACTATTTAAATGAACTCGTCGCTGGTTTCGCCATCTCCACCAAACTCAAAATTCAGTTAATTAATAACAATTATTATTATTATTAACTCCGCCCGCTGCCCGGACACTCACCCAAATGAAACTCCCTGCCCCAATCACATCTGTTTTATCAGCTAAACATCCTGTAGATACAGGCTGGCAGAATGGGGACACAGTGTAACTGTGCCTGTAAATAAATGGTGTGTTAATAGATCTAGGTTTTCAATTCAACCTTGATCATATAGAGATAGTCACGGTGTTATAACTGCAACCGTGCCCTCCCCACTCCAGACTCCGCCAACCTATCACTCTATCTCAGCTCAGCTCCCTGGCTCCCCACCCCCAGCTGATTGAGTTCCAGATCATGGTTTCACCTCAGTCTCTCCCCTCCCAACCTCAGCAATCTCCTTCAACCATACAGATCTGTTACACATTAACCTGGAAATCAATCACGTGGGATGTCTTCTGTGGGACTGAAGATTATTCCAGGGAAACGTGAGGGTGTAACCAGGGTCTCAGAGCAGGAATGTTAGTTACTGACAGCAAGTGATGAGCAACAATCAACACTAACATGAAAACCATACGATTATTCCTCACTCTCTATTGTAGGTAAAATTTGAACTGCCCTTTCCCTGTTTGTGTGACTATAATGTGATTCCCACAGAAACCGAAAGCAGCATTAGACTCTGGACATCGCCATCCCGAACACACATTTCATTTATTTTTAAGAGTGCAGATTCTTGTCTTTCAATGCCAAATTTAAACAGGTAAGTGTCAGAAATTGTGTCCTGAAATGATATATTATTTTACCATTAAAATAATGACTTAACTTTACTGTTATTCCAGTATATAATTCATTGGTTTCACTATTAAGTGCGCTGATCTGGAGTTTAAAAAATCACTAATAAAGACAGAATGTCCGTCAGTCTGTCTGTGTGTCCACCAAGAACACAATAATCGATTGACGTAGAGACACGATTTATACCTCATTGGAAAGGACTTTCAAGGGGGAGTGTCATGGGCATATTTTGGGGAAATATTCTATTGATGAACTATGTTAAAAATGCTTTAATTAAGCCTCAAAATATGAGGTATGCATGGTATTCTGCAACAAAGTAGTGACAGAGGAATTCACACAGCCTTCAAGAGAAATACATCTTTCTATATTAATAAAGACAAAATGTCTGTGGGTCTGTCTGCCAATAACGCATTGAAATAAAGATATGATTTATACCTGATCAGAAAGGTCTTGCCAAGGGAAGTGTTATGAGGATATCTTTTTTCGACGGTGAGCTTCTACATTGATGTGTTTAGGTCACAGGAACTAAGACCTAAACACACATATATGGCAGTTTTGCTTAAGGTGTTTATGGCATGTTAAAAAGTTTGTCAGCGCTATTACTGAAATCTACATTCCAGATTGGCTCCTTTGGTTGCAAGCAAAGCTGCAACAGGTACAGTTAGTGTGAGTTAAATGTTCTGTATTGTCAGGTTTGTGTCAATAGTAATGCGGGAGCTGCTGCAGTGAGTTTATTCCCAGTTTGTTGTTTAAACGCTGAGAATTGGAGGCAAGTGAGGAGGGAGGGAATGGGAGCCCCTCTCTGACCTGCACCTTGTTGGGGTGAATAAGGAGCGGCTCTGAGGAGGGGGAGGGGGAGGAGCACATTACAGCAGTTACACATAACATGTTTCTTCCCCAAACCACCTCATGGAGACCCCCAGTGCGGGACCAGGGGGGGCCTCACTATCACAGTTAAAGATCCCAATCACTATTCCAACAGAGAAGGCAGTTTGTTCTGCTGTGGGTGTAAATTCAAAGAACATGTTGTAAGATCACAGAATTATTAATTATGTTTTATATTTTATCAATTATATTTGATCACAAATCTCTGTGTGTAACGATCTGATTTGCTGTGTTGTAACCAGTTCTGATCTCATTGTGAAGGTCCTAGAGGATGAGCTGGAAACACTTTGTTCAGGTCCTATGGCTTGTGCTTCCCCTCTCACTGACTGGTAAGGAAACACATTGAATCTGTTTGATTTCTGTTGGTGTTAAATTGCTGAAGAAGGGAGAGCTGCTGAAGGTGGTGGTTGGGAGTGAGTGTGATTCACACACTGAGAGCTGCTAATGTTCCAGGAGATGAGCAAAGGCATTTAGGTTCCAAATACATAAATCACTGAAATCTTGTTTTTGGGTTGATAAAGTAATTAGTGAAACTAATGATGGTCTTTATAAAGAGGAATATAAAAGTGAGGAATTTATGTAACAATCATATTTGCATTTGATATAGTGCCTCATCTCATTGCTGAGACATCTCAAAGCATTTCACAGAATTGAGGAAAATTTTGTGGGCAGATTTGTGGCAGCCAATTTTGCACAGTAGTGCCCCATAAACAGTTTTGGATTGAGTGACCAAATGCTTTTTTTAAAAGCTCTGAGATTTTAAGACATTAGCTCTTTCAAAGACCGGCATGGACTCGCTGGGCCGAATGTCCTTCTGTGCTGTGTTATTGTATGATTCTGTGAGAAGGGAGTTCCGCTATTCTTAAAATGATTCATGAGATTAATACCTGGGATGAAATGTTTTAACTGTGTTGAGAGGCTGGTTAGACATCGGTTATATTCCTCAGAGCTGATTAGGTTGAAGGGGGATCTGATTGAGATGCTTAAATAGTGAAGGGAATTGTCAAGCTAAATAGTGGACAACATTTCCTTCTTGGAAAACAAAGGAACATAAAATCTGAAATTGTAGCTAACCTGGTTATAAGTGAGATCAGCAAACAAACAATAATAAAATTAGTCATTTTCAATCTATGACTGTTTGTGGGACATTGCTGTGCGCAATTGGCTGCCGGGTTCGCCCACAAATATACAGTCAATTCACTTTACAGTGTGTTCTGTGAAGCGCTTTGGGACGTCCTTCCGACGTGAAAAGCGCTATATCAAATGCAAGGATTATTATTATTATTTCTTCACAGAGTCTTGTGAGAATATTACATGTGTTTGATTTCTGTGGGTGTTAAATTGCTGAAGGTAAAGGGAGAATCTCTCCAATCTGGTTTCTGTCCATGGTACAGGGTCACAGTTACAACTGACATTCTGTCTATATGTGACCAGGGCTCTCTATCCTTCTTGATCTCTCCGCTATTTTTGACAGTGTTGACCACTCTTATTCTTTCCCAGTGCCTCTCCTCTCAGCTCCACCATCACCGCTCTGCCCTTGCCTGGTTCCATTCTTACCTTTCCCATCGTCTCCACTTTGTTTCCACCAATGACTTCTCCTCTAACTCTCGCACTGTCACATGTGATGCTCCTCAGGGCTCTTTTCTTCATCCTCTCCTCTTTAATATTTACATGCTCTTGCTTACGGATATCATCCACACAAATGGGGTTAAATTCCACACGTACACGGATGACATCCAACTCTATCTTTCTGCCTACACCCTCGATTCCAGTTCTGCTGTCCTGATGGATAATCTGTCAGACAAGGCCTGGATGAGAGCCAATTTCGTACAGTTGAATGTCGACAAGACCGAGGCTCTCCTCCTTGGTTCCCGTCAGCATCTCTGCACCTCAGGCACTCACAGCATCACTATTCATGGATGTACTCTCCACTTCCAGTACAGCAACTTGGTATCCTGTTTCACCCTCAACTGTCTTTTATACCCCACATTCATGCCATTACCCATTTTGCCTTTCCCGCGTCTACAATATTGCCCAGTTCCACCTCTTATCTCTCCTCACAGGCTGCTGAAAAACTCATCCATGCTGTCACTACTCCAAAATACAAAAATGGGTCACTCAATTCATGATTAGTTGTGGGACAATCATGTGCGAAAACTGGTTGCCACCTTTCATCCACAAAATACACAGTCACAGTACTTTACCATATATCCTATGAAGATCTTTGAGACTTCTTGGCAACGTGCTAACCATAGATTCATCATAGAATTATAGAGATATAAAGCACAGAAGGAGGACATTCAGCCCAGGGTGCCAGCTCTTTTAAAAGAGCTATCCAAATCAATCCCAGTCCCCTGTTCTCTCCCCATAGCTCTGCAAACTTGTGCTTCCCAAATAATTATCTATAAGCTATATCAAATGCAAGCATTATTATTATCTCAGTGAGTGTCTATTGACAGAGTTTGTCTGAGTAAGTGTGACTGAAAATCCTAACTGTAACAATCCATTGTTTGTTATTGAACAGAGAGATTCACAGTCAGTGGCCCGGCCCTCCCTGTCCCAGCCATTGCTGGTTCAGATGTTGTCCTGGACTGTAAGTGTTCCACAGACCTGCCTCGAGAGGGTGTGGAGGTGAGATGGTTCAGGACAAGTTACGATTCCCCTGTGTACTTATACAAGGAGGGACGACATCAACTGAGAAAACAGGATGAAGCCTACAGACATAGAACACAACTGTTTGTAGAGGAGTTTATCAATGGCAATGTGTCTCTCAGACTGGAAGATGTGCGGGTGTCAGATAATGGAGAATACACATGTTTTGTTGAGTACGCCGGATCATATCAAGATGTACTGATAGAGTTGAAAGTTACAGGTCAGTAATGTTTACAATTCATTTTATTTCATATAATCTGTGTGTACAAAATTCAGTATTTGTTAATGTTATGTTCAAAATACAATACTTTATAGAAACAAGAACAAGTTATCATTGGTGTAAATGTATTCAGAATGTTGTGAACAGGCCTTCAGTGCGGTCACTGCTCTGTAATGTCCCGGATATAAATATTGCCTGATTCACGTCTACTGTCTCTTCCAGTTCTTGGCAGACAGCCTTGGATTCACGTTGATGGGCAGCACAGTGATGGTGTGAGGCTGCTGTGTGAATCCAGTGGATGGTTCCCAGCACCAGAGGTTCTATGGTTTGATGATCAGGGAAACAACTTAACAACACTCAGTAATTGGACTGTCAGAGAGGATTCTAAAGGTCTCTACAGTGTTAAAAGCCAAATAGAAATAATCCATTCAACCAACAAGATCAGGTGTCTGATTCACAATTCAGAAAATGAACAAGAAGCAAAACTCCAAATCTCAGGTCAGTAAATACACTGAATTATTATCAATAGTCTGATAAATATGATGCAGATTTGTACAACACATGAGGTGAAAATTACCTCAGTCTGGATGATACAGTCCATCTGAGTTCATCCTTTCAAAATACCAAACTCACCATCTTCAACAATAACAACAAATTACATTTGTAAATTGCCTTTCATGTTGGGAGGATGTCCGAACGTCAGAGGCGCTAACAAAGGTGCTGGACAATCAAGGATTTGTACCCGAGCTGGGGTTTGGGATCATGATGGGTGGAGGGCAGGGAGAGTGGAAGTAGGAGGGTGACTGAGGGCACGGTCAAAGAAGGTTGGTCTTGAAGGAGGTAAAGCAACTGAGCGAGATGGAGGGAATGTGAATGGTGTTTCACAGAATTGGAGCAGAAATATGGAGTTAGCTGATCACAGAGATAGGGAAAAGCTTTGAGGGCTTTGAAGGAAATTAATCTTCATTACAAACTGAAATCAATTCTGAAATGACCTCAGCTCACCCACCCTTCCTGCTAACCTTTCAAACTGCTGATTATCTTGTGAATGAGTCAATACTTCATGCCTTCATTCCTCCGCGTCTGGCCTCCTTTTCGTCCCCCGAGTCCTCCGCTCCACCCTCAATGGCCGTGCCGTCAGCCACTATGCCCCAAGCTCTGGAACTGCCTTCCTCACTCCCTTTGTCTCAATCCCTCCCTTCCCGTTTTCAGGTCTCTGCTGAAGAGACACTTTCTTTTCGACCGCGCCTTTGGTCACCTTTCCCCCCCCCACTCCCCATGGCTCAGTCCCGGGATCCGTAACTGTAAAGCATTCTGAGACGCCGTCCGGTATGGAAGGTGCTATATAAATCCAAGTTCTTGTTGTTGTCGTACTTCATAACTCACAGCCAACATTGCTTCAGAAGAAACAAATATTGCCTGATCCACCTCACAGTGAAGGGAAGACTCCAACTTAAGAGCTGAGAAGCTACAGGACAACAACAACAACAACAACAAATGACATTTGTAAAGCGTCTTTCATACTGAGAGAACATCCCAAGGTGCTTTACCATCAGGAATTTGGATCTGAGCTGGGGAATAGGACATAGTTATAGGACTTCCACATGGAGGCAGCAGGACAAGAGGACACAAGTTCAGCGTTCTGAAGGTCGGGTTTAACACAGACATTTACACTGGGGTCATCTTCCAACTATTTCTGCTATTTATTGTTTTCATCAATTTTCCATTCACTTATGTTCATGAGTTGCCAGGTATGGCTCTGTCATCACAGCTCTGTTGGACAGAACCTTCCTGTTTGAGTAACAACAAAATGTAGTCATTTAATACATTCAGTATCTCCTGTTCAGCCCCTTCAGTACACTTTGGATCCTCTGGATTTATCTTGTTCCCCGATTACCCTCTTGTTGCTATAACATTGGAAGAATGTGTTGGGATTATGCTTCACATTTGTTCCAATGTCCTTTTCCACTTCTCTTTGGGGTCTCTGATTTCTGTTACTAGACAATAAAGGTTAGAGGTTCTTCCAGAAATCACAATTGTAAACTGAAATAAAATAGATATTAGGAATGATTTCCTTTCCTCTGGCATGGTATTTCTCTTTCAGAAATGCTGCCATTTATTCTCTTCAATTAAACTTTCACTGAACTCCTCACAAAATCTCTAGCTGTTGCGCCATTTCCAACCTGCATTTCCTCTCCAAAGTGCTGGGATGAATTGTATCCTCGAAGCTCCATTGCTTCCTCTCACATAATTTCCTGTATAACTTTCTCCAAACTGGTTTCCTCTCTGCTCACAGCACCTGGACATTTCTCTCCCCAGTAAAAGTACATAATAATCCTTGTATTTCATATAGCGCATTATAACGTATCTGAGTCATCTCAAAGTGCTTCACAGAATATAAGATAAAGTGAATTGAATGTGTATTTTGTGGAGGAAACTCAGCAGCCAATTGCACACAGCAGTGTCCCACAAACAGCCGCAGATTGAGTGACCAAATTATTATTGTTTTTTTTATGGAATAGCTCCGGAAGCGATCTGCCAATCAACGAACAAGCAGGTTCCTATTTACTGCTAGGTACACAGAGACATATGGATTAAGGAAACTTGTCTAATGTTTCACCCTGTTCAGGAATCTAACCCGGATGTGAAGCGAGTGCTCCATCCAATACACTACCAGGACTTCACTTTGACTCAAGCCTGTGACAGATACTGAGCTATTGTGTGTAATACAGTCACTTTGGGGTAAATGAAGGTAATTGTTGTTTGATATGAGAATAGATGTTTAAATGTCTATTTACATTTCTTGACAGACGAGTTCTTTCCCAAAGTGCCAGTGGGTTTGGTGGTTTCCTCACTGCTCTTAGGACTTGCCATAATGGTGTTGAGTGTTCTTGTCGGCTACAGTGTAAAACAGCGCCGAGAGATCAATGGTACGTTCCCATCACAACACTTGTTACTGTTTGTGTACAAATGTACAAGTTCTATAAAGCAGTTGGCCCTTCCCTTCACTCAGTGACCTGAATGCCTGTTTCATGTCACCATCCTATCTTGCCCACCGTCAGCAGCTCAGGCTTTCAGCCTCTCTGCCTCCACTCTCTGGAATTCAATCCAAAAATCCTTCCCATCCCCCACCCCACGCTCCCTCCCTCACCTCTTTCAAGGCCCATCTCATGACCTACTGCATTCTGCATTTTCAGTTAAGTTTCCTCTTCTTCCACGCCCCGCGCCCCCATCCCGGCCCCCACCCCCAGCTCAGACCTCAGACCCCATTGTCAGTACTTTGGGATGTCCTCCGCTGTGGAAGGTGCTGTGTAAATGTCAATTTTATTGTAATTCGAACCTCTTGTAATTGTGCTGAGCTGCACTTTGTGGAGTCTCTAACTGTTAATGTTGTAAACATTTAGACTGACCATTAAATAATACTGGTTTGGGATTGGTTTCTAATGGTTTTGTTTTTTATCCTCTAGATCTTGAAAAGAGAGTGGGTAAGTCATCAGAATAAAATAACAATCTCACATTGTGATTAATCTCATTCACAAGCTGCACACAAAGGAGACATAGTTTGCCAACAAAACATACAGTCACTACACTCTCCAGTAAATCCAGTAAAATGCTTATGAGGAGCTAAATCTAATACGAGGATTATTATTATAGGACAACAATAACTTGCACATATATAGTTCCCTCCACTCAGGGCAGTTTCTCAGAGCGCTTAACAGAGGTGGAGTCTGATTCCGAGCCGGTGTGGTGGCGGGGTTGGTGGGCGGTGACCACGGTCGAAAAGGAAGGTTTTCAGGTGGGACTTGTAAAAAGGGAGTGAGGGGGCAAGGCAGAGGGACTGAGGGAGAATGTTCCAGAGTTTCGGGGTATTGTGCCTGAATGCACGATTTCCAATGGTGGAGCGGAGGGGAAGTAGAAAAAGAGGTAGACAGGTATATGAGGGATAGAGGCTTGAAGGGCAGGGCAGCTGTTGTATGGGCAGGGCAGCTGTTGTATGGGCAGGGCAGCTGTTGTATGGGCAGGGCAGCTGTTGTATGGGCAGGGCAGCTGATGTATGGGCAGGGCAGCTGTTGTATGGGCAGGGCAGCTGTTGTATGGGCAGGGCAGCTGTTGTATGGGCAGGGCAGCTGTTGTATGAACACTTTGCTCTGAGAGCCCATATAGACTGGACGGTGATTGGTCTCCTTGTGCGCTGTAAATTTCAATAATCTAATCCATGAATTATTACAGGCTGTTTAACTCCAAACATTGGTCTATTTCACAGCTTTAGCTTTCCCTTGTCTTCCCCCAGACAACATTGGCTTATGGATATACACACATGTAGGAGAGAGAATGAGCGAGTATCAATGAGGCAGGTAGGGAGGGAGGGAGCGAGGTGGGGAGAGGAGGAGGGAATGAGAGAGGGAGTGAGAGGAAGAGGGAGTGAGGAAGAGGCAGGGAGGGAGTGAGAGGAGGAGGAGGAGGGAGGGAGTGAGAGGGGGAGGGAGTGAGAACGGGATTGAGAGAGGGAGGGAGGTGAGAGGAGGAGGGAATGAGGGAGAGAGTGAGAGGAGGAGGGAGGGAGGGGAGAGAGATAGAGAGAGTGAGTGAGAGAGGGAGGCATCGGGAGACAAAGGGAGTTAGAGAGGGAGGGAGTGTGACTTTGTTAGGAACTGCCAAAGGTCTGATCACTTCTTTCTTCTTGGTTCCAGGTTTGAAAAGGATTTGCAAGTGTGCAGGTAAGAGTCTGAGTGATCAAACAACCAACATCCAACACAGTGACTCCCACCACCCCACACACAATCACATCACCCCCCACAACATACAGACCCTCACACACATACCCCTCACAACCCCCCACACACACCCTTACATCATCTTACACACACCCTCACATCCCCTCACACACAAACCATCACAGCCAATCCCCCACAAACATCCTCATATCCCTGCACACCCACACACACACCCCATACACCCCCACACTCACCAACACACACATCCTCACACAACCTCACATCCCCCCACTCACAAACTCTCATATCCCCACCTCACACACTCACAACCCCGATGCGCACATACTCACATCTCCCCAATATACCCTCATCTCCACTCTCCACTATCCCAGGCTCACGTTCCCCATACATACAACCTCACACAGAAGCCGCACACTTCCCCAAAACACTCACACCCGCCTTTATATCCCCCAACACCCTCACATACTCCACACACAAACACAAATTCACACAAACCTCCCCACACACTTTCACATCACCCTCACATCCAACACACCCGCACACACTCACATCCCATCCACACACAAACACAACCTCACATCCCCACTCCACATACTCTCACACCCTCTCATCCCCCCACATACCCTCACATCCCTCATCCCACCCACAGCCTCACATCCCCCACACATACAATATCACGCAACCCACACATCCTCATACACCCCCACACACTCTCACAACTCCCCACACACACTCACACCCCCCCACACACACTATCAATCCCCCACACAAACCATCGCATCCCCCCACCCCATACACACTCATTTCCCTCCCCCACAAAAAACCCTCACATTACCCCAGACACAACCTCACTATCCCTCACACACACCCTCACAACTCCCCCACACAAACAACCTCACATGCCCCCCACCCATAACTTCTCATCCCTCCCTGCACACCCTCACAAAAACCCACATTCACCCTCACTAAGCTCTCCACACACACCTCAAAACTTCCCCACACAAACAACCTTACATTACCCCCACACACAACCACATATTCCCCCCACACAGTCGCACAAATCCACACACACACCCTCACCTCACCCCCCCCCCACACACTCACCTCCCTCATACACACACTCACTCACCTCCCTCCCACACACTCACTTACCTCCCTCACACACACCCTCACATCAATTCCCCACACACTCACATCCTCCACACTCAGTCTTCACATCCTTTCCCCACACACCCTCACATTCCCACCCACCTCACATCCCCCCACACACACCCTCACATTCCCCCACAAATACATGTGCAAACTCCTCCAAAAACACTCACATCCTCCACAAACCCTCACATACACCCCCACATACCCTCACATGCCCCTTCACACTTATCTTCACATCTCCCACCAAACACCCTCATATCACCCCACACACAACTCTCTCACATCCCCCCCACACACACACTCAACCCCCCACACACAACTCTCTCACATCCCCCCCCCACACACACACTCACCCCCCACACACACAACTCTCTCACATCCCCCCCCCACACACACACTCTCACATTGGGATTTCCTGAGTTCGAAATATGACTCAACAATCCAAAATGGTGTAACAAAGTTTTATTGTAGAATTAGTCAAATATAAGTATTTACAGAATCAAAGTATATTACCCATTCCGATGACTCTGGACAACGACCATCTGATCTCTATCCTTGTCTTCCCTCTGGCTGCTGTCGACCACTCCTCCTCTTTCACTTTCTTACTGGAGGTAAATGCCCTGTCCCCTGGACACATACATAGATACAATAGAATTAATACCGGTTGCACTGGCTAACCCTCTACAGTACTCCAACTATGTGGAGTCCTGTAGCTCAGTGGTTAGAGCACTCGCTTTGCAAGCGAGAGACCTGAGTTCAATTCCAGGCAGAGGGCGAAACCTTGGGCAAGTTTCCTTACTCCACACAGAGCCTAATAATAATCCCTCCAAAACCAAAAACAATAATAAATTGGTCATTTCCAATCCATGACTGTTTGTGGGACATTGCTGTGTGCAATTGGCTGCCGCGTTCGCCCACAAATATACAGTCAATTCACTTTACAGTGTGTTCTGTGAAGCGCTTTGGGACGTCCTCCTGACGTGAAAAGCGCTATATCAAATGCAACGATTATTATTATTATTATGTGTTTCTAACTTCACCTCCCCTGGTCACCGAGACAGACCCCATGGCCTTCACAGACTGCTAGCGATCTTTGTGTAAGCTCTTTCGCATAAGAAAATATCTGATAAGGAGAAAGATATGGACAACTTCTGTCCAGCCTTTCACAGTCTCCTTGCTTCTCAGCCTTGAGAGAGGTAGGTATTAAGACTGCAGCCGTTTAATCAGCAGCTGACCTTAACCGGCCCCGAAAAGCTACCTTTAACCATTTAACTATCAAACCTTCTGGAACATTCGGTTGCTGTTTGAAGTATAGCAATTTATGCAGAGATGATAGTCAATATATTTCAATAGCCTCCCCTCCCCATACACATCCTCACATCCCCCCCCAAACACACCGTCAAATTCCCCCACAGACACACCCTCACAACCACCCAACATATATGCTCTAACATCTTCCCAAACACCCACACATTCCCCCCCAAACACTCTCACATCCCCCCCACACACATCCTCAAAACCACACACACCCGCACCCCCTCCACACACATCCTGCACACACACACACACCATCAAGCCCCACCACACACCCTCATATCCCGTCCCATCCACACACACACACTTTGTGAGACTTTATGCTGGATTCTATTCCCAGAAGATGTCGATGATTTACACAAAGGCTTCTCTCCCGGTGACAACGCTGAAGATAATCTTATTTATAATTGTAAATGTGTCTGACATTAATGGTCTGATTCTCTCTCTAGTTACAGTCACTCTGGATCCTGACACAGCCCATCCCCTGCTCATCCTGTCTGAGGACCGGACCAGTGTGAGATACGGAGGCAAACAGCAGCCGCTCCCTGACTCCCCGAAGAGGTTTAATGGATCTCGCTGTGTCCTGGGATCTGAGGGCTTCACATCAGGGAGACATTACTGGGAGGTGCAGGTGGGCAACAAGACAATGTGGATTGTGGGATTGGCCACAGAGTCTGTCAACAGGAAACAACCAATCACATGGACACCAGAGGGTGGGGTCTGTGGGGTGGAGCTGGGGAGCGGCACCTATGAGGCTCTGACGTCTCCTCGTACCCGCCTGTCCCTGACAGTGGGACCCGGGAAGGTCGGGGTTTACCTGGACTATGAGGGGGGACAGGTGTCATTTTACAACGCTGACAACATGTCTCATCTCCACACTTTCACCCAAACTTTCACTGAGAAACTTTATCCTCTTTTACATCCCATGTTTGATTCTGAGCCTCTGACAATCTGCCGGTGACAGGTTAATGAGGAGGAAAATTTGACTGTTTTTTCCATGAGGTTTGGATGGTGCCGAGTGTTTGATTCTGTGCTGTTGCTCCAGTTTTGAGCTGAGATTGTGACGGGAAGTGAAGGGTGGAGCTGAGTGGGGTCTCCCTGGGAGACGTCAGCTCCACATTGTATCCTGTGCCGGGAAAGCCATCTGTGGCCATCGTCACTGAGCAGCCACAACACGGCAACTGCACATTCCAGCATCAATACAGTAAACCCCACTAACAGGACTCCGGGTATCCTGGATTCACAACCAGCCGGACTGAGTCTGACACCAAAATAGATATCTTTAAAATTTCTGCGGTCCTCTCTGCAGCCATCTGTGTAAAGCTCATCGCCAGCTCGTCTCTGTGCTCGTGTTGAGAGAATCTGACTTGCCATCCAGTGTGTGACTCACACGCTCTGAGACAGGGATATATATCGCTGATATCTTTCTCTCCAGCAATGCCCAGTCTCACAGTCGGGGCTGTGCTCAGAATCTCACTGAAATCTCCCAAATCACTTTTATATCTATAAACAGGTGCTGTGTTGTCCAGTGAGCAGCCGCGTCTCACTGTGTATAAACAATGTATATTTTCAGTGACAGCTTTTATAATCTGTAACATTTCTCATTCACTAACAGTCACCCAAGAAGCTGTATCTTCATTAAGCCGAGGTCACGTCTGTGTCTGTTCAAGTGGATATTATTGTCCAAAATATTGGATTAACTTGCAAAATACTGCCTCAATTTACAATAAATCATGTGATGCTATTATTTTACGTCCAATCATTACACAGAATCTGCACACACCCCTCACCCTCTGATACACACATCCCTAACCTTCAACCCCTGACACACCCTGAGCTGTCTTAACCCACTCTCCCCCTTACTGTACAGAGACCACACAGGTAACACAGCGCTGAGACACCGAATGCCCAACTCCTCCTCTGACCCTCATTACTCTCTGCTCCAGTGTTTGTTTCTGATCCGGTTGTTGCTTCTCTCTACAGCCTCACCGGCTGCTCCATGTTTGGGGTTTGCTGATACGTTTTAAAACACTTCAGAGAACATACTGTAATGTGCAGTGACTGTGTTCTGTGGGTGAAATGTTACAGCCAAGTGTGCAGGGCAGTGTCCCACGAACGGTGCTGGATTGAGTGACCCAATTAACCATGTCGGAGAGATTATCACACCCGGAAAGCGATCCATCAATCAACTATCAACCAGGTTCGTACTTACTTAAACAGGTATGTGGAATAAGGAAACTTGCCTAAGGTTTCACCCCACCCAGGAATCTCTCTCTTGTGAGGCGAGTGCTCAAACCACACAGCTATAGGACTGTGTTGTTGTCAAGAGGAAGTTGGATCCTCTAAACCTATCCCCCAAACCCTCCCCTTTATGGGGCTTTCAGGCTGGTTAACAACACACGGGATGAGCACACGTGTTTGGGACACTCCCTTTAAGCACAGTCAGGAGACCTTCGCATGAGGGAGAGGAGGATTGAATGGAATGGGAGGGAGTAAGGAATGGGTGGAGACTGATGTGGAGCATAAACACCGTCACAGACTGGTTTGGCGGTTTCTGTGCTGTACATCCTTTGTCGGGAGTGGATTCAGCGGAGCGTGGGGCGGACCCGAGGCCGAGCTGCAGGTATAAAGCCCAGCGAGGTGAGGAGCCACTCAATCGGGAGCGGAGTCAGGAGAGCGCGGGGAGTGAGGAGTCGGGAGAGCACGGTGGGAAGGTAAGTGAGGAGAGGGGGCACGATTCACAAAGTGACACCGGCGTGACGTCACAGTTAAAAAATAATGACCAACAACGGCAATGGCCTGGCAGCCGCTGCCACTGCCATCCCAGCCATGACCTGGGAGGCTAAGCCTGAGGGCTGATGCCGTCCCCCTGGTCGCTCACTCCCGGTCTCTGTGTGTACGTTTTTGCTGCCGCCCAACCCAAGCCTCACCCTCCATTCTAAATGTCTCTCCTCCCACCCCCTTCTATGCCTCTGCTCCCAACCCCCTCTATCCGCTATCCCCCCTCTGTCCTTCTCTCCCACTGCCCTCCCTGCCTTCACTCTCTCCTCGACCCCATGGGGTACATAACCCTGCACACCCGTCCTCCTCAAATACCCGTCCACCGCGTTTAAACGTAGTTACAAATCGGCCTCGACATCCCTTTCAGGCAATGCGTTCCAGATTCGAACAACTCGCTGCATGAAAAAAAATTCTCACCTCCCCTCGGCTTCTTTTAGAAACAATTTTGAATATATGACCTCGAGTCACCGACACACCCACCAGTGGAAACAGTTTTTCCCTTTCTAACCTATCAAATGCCCTCATGATTTTAAAGACCTCTATTAGGTCCTCGTAACCTTCTCTGCTCCAATGAGAATAATCCTAACCTCTCACCTTTCCTCATAATCACGGTCCCTCATTCCTGGTACCATCCTTGTGCCATCCTCGTAAATCTCCTCTGCACCCTTTCCAATGCCTTAATATCCTTCCTATAGTATGGTGTCCTTAGTATAGATTCTCTTACCAGTTGTGGGGGGGGTGTAGATGTCATTGTGATTCTTGCTCACGCACATTTCTGCTCTTCGGTGAAGCCAAACACACACACACACACAGTCTGACTCGACACCAACACCACACACTTCACGTACTGTTCGGAGCAGCTGAAGGAGGAAAACTGGGCAGAGAAGAAGCACAAAGGCTGTGACAAACAGCACAACATCCACACACGCACCTTCCCAGCTTTGGGCACTGGAGATTATCAGTGCAGGAATCCTGGAAGATCATTTCAGGCTGAGAGGCTTAAGAGTGACCAAACCAAGCTGGGATTTTCTTGCATCCCATCTACACATGGAAATCCCAGAGATAGATTGTTGGAATGCAATGTGAACTCTCTCCTTGGAGGGACACATCCTATTTACCTAATTCCGGAAAGTATTAGGCTCAGGTTGGCAAGAACCAAGGCCGGGGGAACCCAGAATGTGCATTGGGATAACTGCTGGAGTTTAAATAGATAAAACTGCATAGCTATAGAATCATACATTATACAGCACAGGAGGAGGCTATTTGGCCCATTGTGTCAGCTCTTTGAAAAGAGCTTCCAAATCAATCGCACCCCCCGCTCTCTCCTGATAGCCCTGCATATTTGTCCTCCCTACTTTTCTCTTAAACATTGTTATTGAATCAGCTTAAACCATCCTTTCAGGCAAAGCTTGCCGAGCTTTCCCACTGCTTGTTGTTTTATCAAATACAAAGGTTATTATTATATTACCACCTACACCCAGTACAAAGATGAGGTGGTGTCTGATACCAGACAGTATTGTATCTGTATTTCCTTTCTACCACACATTCATTCCCTGAACAGGACCCATTTATTCCACCTCCGCCATATTGCCCACTGCCGTCCATACTTCACTGATGCAGCTGAAACCCTCATCCACACCTTCTTCACTTCTTAGCTGGACTGTTTCAATGCCCTCCTCGCTGGTTTTGCCATCTCCACCCTACGCAAAATTCAATTAAATAAAAACTCCGTCCGCTGCCCGCTCCGGACACTCACCCAAATGAAACACCAGTCCTTGCCAGACTCCACTGGCTCCCATTCATTGAACAGATCAACATCAAGATCCTCTCATGCATTTCAAATTACATCATTCCCTCGCACCTCCCTACCTATCCAACCTGCTTACCCCTCACTCCACCACCCACTGCCTCCACTCAGCTGGCCCCAGCCTATCTGTCCCTCATGACCTCCACTCACCATTGGTGGCCGTGCTTTTAGCCATTACACTCTGAGCCTCTGGAACTCCTTCCCTCAATCCCTCCACTTAGTTCCCTCACTCCCCTCCTTGAAATCCCACCCAATGACCTCCCCATTTTGATCGTGCTTACAGTCGCCTCCCCTCTCTTTCTCCCGTGGCTTATTGTCAGACTCCACCACTGTGCAGTGCTCTGGGATGCTACACTCCATGAAGGTCGCTATATCGAGTTATTGTTGTTGTGTATATGTATGTGTACGATATGTGGAATCTGGGGGAACAGCTGAGGCTCACGCCCCAATATAGGTATCAACTCATCATCCTGTAGATACAGGCTGCCAGAGCGGGGACACAGTGTAACTGTGCCTGTAAATAAAGTGCTTTGAAACAGGAATTGTGAGTTTGTTATGTTATGTTTACAATAGATTATATTCTGTTTTTAAAATTCTGTTTCTGCGACAACATCAAGTGCTGTTTTAATAGATCGAGGTTTTCGATTCTGTCTTGATCATACAGAGATGGTCACGGTGTTGTTAATACCGGCACCTGTATCCTCTCTCACTCCAGGCTCCGCCAACCTATCACTCTATCTCAGCTCAGATCCCCATCCCCACCCTCAGCTGATTGAGTTTCAGATCATTGTTTCACCTTGAAAGCTCTCCTCGGTCTCTCCCCTCCCAACCTCAGCAAACACCTCCAACCATACAGATCTGTTACACATTAACCTGAAATCAATCACTTTTTCTGTGGATTGAAGATTATTTCAGGGAAACGTGAGGGTGTAACCAGGGTCTCAGAGCAGGAATATTACTTTCTGATAGCAAATGATGAACAACAATCAACATTAACGTGAAGATCACAGGATGTTTCTTCACTCTATTTTATAGGTAAAATTTGAACTGCGCTTTCCCTGCTTGCGTGTCTAAAATGTGATTCCCACAGAAACTGAAAGCAAGATTAGACTCTGGACATCGCCATCACAGACACATGTTTTGTTTACTTTTAAGAGTGTAGATTCTTGTCTTTCAATGCCAAACTTAAACAGGTAAGTGTCAGAAATTGCTTCCTGAAATTAAATATTATTTTATCATTAAAATAATTACATAACTTTACTCTTATTCGCGTTATACAGTTCACTGGTTTCAGTTTTATGTGTGATGGTGTGGAGTTAAATTCTATACCAATAAAGACAAAATGTCTGTCTGTGTATCCACCAAGAACACAATAAATGATTGACGATGAGGCATGATTTATACCTTATTGCAAAGGTCTTGCATGGGGCAGTGTCATTACATATTTTTGGGGAGGCAACTCCTCGCATTGAGCTATATTGAAAAAAGCTTTAAATAAGCCACAAAATATGAGGTATGCATGGTATTCTACAACAAAGAAGCGACAGTGGAAATCGCACACCCTTCTGGAGAAATACATTCTAATGAAGACGAAACGTCTGTCTGTGATAATAATAATGTCTTGTGTATCTGTCTGCCAATAAGTCATTGACGTATAGACAAGATTTATACCTCATCGGAAAGGTCTTGCATGGAAGAATGTAGATCCAGAGAAACTGGAATGGGTATATTCTTTTGGGGCGGGGGGGGGTTCTCCTATCGTTGATGAGCTATGACCTGAACAATCTCATCACATATGTATGGCAGTTTTGCTTAAGGTGTGCACATAAGGTTTATGGCATTTTAAATGTGATGGTAACACTGAAATATATATTCCAAATTGGATCCTTTGGTTGCAAGCGAAGCTGCAATGGGTACAGATAGTGTGAAATAAATGTTCTCTATTGTCAGGTTTGTGTCAGTAGTAAAGCGGGAACTCTGCAGTCAGTTTATTCCCAGTTTGTTGTTTAAACGCTGAGGATTGGAGGCAAGTGAGGAGGGAGGGAATGGGAGCCCCTCTCTGACCTGCACCATGTTGGGGTGAATAAGGAGCGGCTATGAGGAGAGGGAGGGCAGGAGCACATTACAGCAGTTACACATAACATGTTTCTTCCCCA